GGCTTCCACCGAGGTCCATTAGAATTCGGTGTCATCGAGACCATCGTAGGTTATATTTGAACCCGCTTATCCTACCAAAGTAATATGGGATCATTGTCTGCCTTTAGGTAGACCTGATGTGGCACGTATTTGCTCAGCTGATCTGCGCAGTTCTCCAATCTTTCAGTGTTTTTATAATCGTTACACTGAGCACCCCCTAAAAAAATCCGTCTCGGTCCTATCTGCCACTCAAATGCAGAACAAAGTGATGATAAATATAAGAAAAAGCTATAGGGAGGCATTCAATAAACCTCATTACTGAAAAAGTGATATCGCTGACTAGTGACACAGTTGGCGAAACTCGCATTAAAAAAAAATACTTAAACAGATCTTCAACGTAATTGCTGTTGCCACTTGAGCAACGTTCGTAATATTGTTCCATTCACTTCACCTTTAGAATACGCTCTAGATACACCATGCCCATGTTATAGACCGAGCTACTTGCATAATGCTAAACCTCAACAGTCGACAGAAGACAGGAACGTCCACGCATCGCTGGTGGCTTGACCGCCGTTGTTACACATAACCGAAACTGTTATATTTTAACAACCATTTGCGTTTCGTTTATAAGATTAGTTTTGATAAAACAATCTTGCAAAAACTGTAAGCCCGACGGTATCGAATTGACCCTGAAGATTTTCACAAACTTTGAATGGTTTTTTCAAAAAAGGACATCAATTCATTGTCCAAAGTGACTTCATTTTACCCTGTTACAGAACTGCCACAGCTAGCTATTCGCTTTGTGTTTCTGTTGTCTGTTTTTTTTAATCGCTATTCCCTTACACTCTTCTGTATTCGCCGTACAGGCCTTTTGGCTTGCAGTTAAAATCTCACGAAAAAATATATTTACAAAAAGTATCAGTTAGTATACTTGGAATCGTGTGTTGTCCAACCTAAGACCTTGATTGCGTAGTCAGAATATCTGTTTGCAGTAAGTTTTTCAAAAAACGTATGTGTGTAACCACCTATGAATCATAGTAGGATAGTTTTTACAGCCAAAAACATATAGACTGCTTAATTCTAGCATTAGCTACAAAAAATCAATTCCCTCTTCAGGGACAAGCGTAAAATCTGATGTGGTCCCGCACGCGTTCAGCTATCCAAGAATACACGAACTCAGTGGAGGAAGGCGGCATAAAACAAATCTTTTTCTTTTTTCCGAATTGCCTTCGCTCGTTAGTTTTTTTATCCAGGAAAGTTGCAATGACCGCAAACAGAAAAAAGCTGAAGGAAAAGCATGAACACGATCAAAAGTGCTTCTGCACAAGTGTAGAGTCAACAGAGGAACTTAAACCTGGTTTTCGTAATGGTCCGCGACTTGTGTCCGCAAGGTTCCCCTTTCATCAAAAAAGTTTCACCAAGTTGGATATTATTTTCGTTTAGGACGGGTAAGGCTCGTGTATGGTAATTACCGATTTTTGTTAATTTTAAACTGTTACGACCACTAGTGCTTGCACTGAAGCTGCTGCGGCCTAGACTTCGACCTGCGTAGCACCTCCTGACATAGCAGTCCGACAGCAGCACCGAAAGCCATTCCCTCAGATCTTATTCAGTTTCGGAGAGCGCGGAAACAGTTAGTTCGCGGCTCGGAGGGACGGCATAAGCTTATGATTTCTACTGTCCAGAGAATACAAGCTCTTATTGCGGCCTGAATAAAATGCTCAAAAAGAAAGAAAAGCTTGCCTCGCAATACTGCCGTGGGTTTTGTTGGCAAAAAGGAATCTATTCGTCATACTCGCGGTGCCGATGTCCAGGTCAAAATACGCTGCTGCATAAAATTTTGCAGTTATTGGCTAGAGATTTGTGTTGCAAATAATATAATTCTACGATCCGTGCTTATGATCGCAGAAAGCAGTTACTCTGCTAATCGTTGGTAGGCGTAACGTTCTATGGAAAGCTAATGTGCTGTCTAACTTCACATTTACTTTGTTCTGTGAAAAACTAAAAGCGCTCTAATAGACCACTAGTATTATGTAGTAAAAGATGAGTATAGCTTCGAAACATGTTTAGTCCCAGTCAGTCGCAATCTTCCTCAAAACTAATGATGATATCATTCATTTGCGGTTCAAGTCTACTTTGACGCCGTAACCTCCATCTCTCGATTAGGTAAAAAAGTCTGTCCGGTGTTAAATAGACCCTGAGGACACCATAGGAATCATGGGTGTCTAACATGTAGCTAGCATATTATAACAAATGGCTAAATCTGTTAAATACTGTGAAAACGTTCAGGCAACGTACAAGGAAACTGTTTTGTACAGAATGTCTTACAAAATACGTTAACTTACACCGCAACTATCACATGTCCTCTAACAGAAATCTCCGATGTAATACGCGTACATCTACAAACATATGGCATTGATCTATCACTATTGGTGGTATGATGTACCATAAACAGTAAGAAATTTCTACTTAACAGACGTGGTTAAGACAAGAAAGAGATAGATGGGTATACAGGATACATGGATAATAAGAGAAAAATGTGGCGTGCAGAAAAATTGCTAGGTAATGAGTCAAGCATTTGTATCCGCACGAAAAAATAACTACTGCCACAACACGGTAGTCATAAGTTAGCTCTACATTGAGACGGAGTCGCTTGCTGTGCAAAAAATAAATTTGCCATATAAATGACTATACAGCTCCCGGAGCAGTTAGGCTTTTGCAGCTCAAGGATCTGGTCAAATGTTTTTTTACATGCTTGCAAGAATAATAGCACTCAATAATTTATTATTATTATTATACACATATTTATGCTAATAATAATGGAACAACTATTAATTGATTATGATTCGTAACCTCTCGCTGTAATTGCCAACTCTTAGTCGTAATGAGAGGTATTGCGTGGATAAATCAAACAAGATAAATATACTGCAAAGTGGTCCTTCAACTACAAGGAGCAATAAAATGCTAGCCTTTTTTACCCCGCCCTCTGTTAAACACTCGAATATTCCACGGATTTTCATTTAACAAGAAACTAGAAGAAGAAAAACAAAAAAAAATAGCGTATGTGCATCCACTTAGATAGATTAGCCATTACACATAGTGCATAGTCAAACACGATGTATTTATTTGATCATGTGATTCACTAAGCTTTTTACCTCTGTATTGTAAATTAGTTCGCATCAAAAAGACCTCCTTCCTACATGAGGGAAAAGGCACAGCGCAGCGCAGGAATCGTAGTGCATATAAGACTGCGAACCCATTGCTAAGCCGACAGTTGTCCATGGTACAAGGTACCCTAGTAATTATTGTTTGCTGCTTATCAACAAAATAAGACTTCCATGAGGGACACTTGAGTATATTTTCATTAAATGAAAAAGGAGCATGAACTACCAATAGATGGAAATTGCATTGTTTAGCCAGCTTTCTCGTTATCAAACATCTGGAATCATTTTTCTGCTCAAACCATGAAATTCTTCTGCATTAGCCTTTTTATGCAGTGCCCTTTGTTACAATTTTTATGTTACAGTAAAACTCGTAACGTTCTCCGTTTCTCTAACTGGTGTCACCTTGGCATTCTTGCAATGGTTTGTTGACACTTCTTGCGTCCTGACTAGTGACACAGAATAGAATGCATTGGCATTTTCCATTGCCTCTATTTGCAAATGCATTTTCATCTCTAAACTATTATCTTGTGCATAAAATCACCTCGTTTGCCTATATACAATGTGTTTTTATTTTAGGAGTAATTTCCTTGCGATCAATGCGGAAAGCTGTCGTTGAACTAATAGGTTCTCTGTATTTATTCAGTTAACGAAGTCTGACTTTTAAGGCTACTATAGCATGAAATATATCGGCGTACACAAAAGCGGAGACCGACTACGGCAACTTGTAGGTCCATATTTATCGGGTCCTGGGCACAAGGAAATCGACACAGCGGAACGTGCGGACTGGTGAATCGTGTTTGATGCCGTTCGATTCTCCTAAATGGGCTTGTTATTTCGAGTTAATGAGCCATACCAAGCAAAGGCAGAACTTCAGGAAAATATGAATACCGACTATTTGAATCGAATTGGCAAAACGCAATTCAATATCTCTCGAAAGGTGGTAGGTAACTGATGTACTCTGGAGCCGCTCGCCAAACACATGACATACAGTACCGAATTCGAAGCTGCCTATTCGTTCCTGATATGTATCACTTTTGCGGTTTATTAGTTGTTGGCAATTTTCTAATAGTGTAGTATTTAATATTGAATTTTATGAGTTATATAAAAAAAAAAAAGTTTCCCTACACATGTACATCTTTTATATAATAGACTTTTTAATATGGTTCAAAATTTCGGCCGCTGAAGTTGACAACCTATTGTTTAAGCAACGCAACCTCTAATAATCGGTAGCATTTTAATTCTATTTAAACTGTGTCAGTTCTATTTGGGTTGGCAGATAAATATGAATTTCATATGATATGAATATGGATAAATAAATATGAAGTTCAGTTACGGGCCGGTCGCAGAGCTAGCACGAACGGAAAATGTGTGCTGTTCTTTTCATTAGAAAGATAATTTCAGGCACGATAAAAAATTTTATAGAAAATTCGAATATATCTTCAGCTATCACGATTCAAGGCTTTTTCAAAACGCCATGCCGATAGATCATCTTAGAAGAATTGTAGAAAAGTACTCATTCTACCTGAATTCTTTTCGGCGTAGTTTCAAAGAAATACTATGATTACGATCTTTAAGCAATGGACCTTTCAAAAAATCAATGAGCCATTGATGAATTGTCTATATTACTTAGTGTATATTGTATAAACACACGAAACAATTCGCAGCGCGTAACTAAATTCTACAAGTTGCATTTATTGAAAACTTCCAGGATAATTTTCATTGATTTTATCAACAACCAAGTCTAAGTGAGCGATCTGATCAAACAGTATTTGTGGCATTAAAGGCAACGTCCATCTGTTTAGTTCACAACCGCCGTTCTTCGGAAATTTCAATATATGAAATGGTGACAAAACCAACCTCGTGCCATCGATAAAGTCAAATTGTAGGACGCCATCGAATGTCAATGCCATTCCGGCTTCCGTGCGCCACCAGTTTCTCAGGCCACTCGTTTGAGCCGATGTATTCGACGCCTTTCCACAAGTTTCTTTTCTCCACCACTGCAAATATGCGATTTTATTTTTTAGAGCTGGCGGTGCTCTACGCAGCGAGAATCGCAAGCCGACGCCATCGTTCTCAAAATAGTGCGTCGTTCCATCGATATCACTATACACGGTCGACATATCATTGTATAAGATAGACGAACACCCGTTGCTGAACGCAACACAAAAGCCAAATTGGTGCGTGAAATCTGCCCAGTGAACAACCCATAGCGGTGCTTTTTGATGATGCTTTTCACAGGTTGAATCGGGGGATGGAACTGACACAATTGAAGTCTCTTTCTCCGTGCTGGTACCCGTATTAGTTTTTAGTACATCCTTCACTCGCTGTACAACACACGCAAAACAAACTGGTGCACGAATAATTTTATTTCGTCCGTTCAGACGGTACGGGATAATCTTTTTCAGCACGAACGAAATTATCGGTGATCCCACCGTTAGAGGGTCGACAAAACCAAATCGAAGAAGGTCCCTAGCGCAGGGCCGATCTTCCCAATTTGAATTGAAAATACGCTCTAATAGGATCGACGCATGACCGCTCTGTAACCCAATGTTGTCCAGACGAAACGCACGATCTTTGATTTGACCAAATAGTGCACACACGGCCTCGCGCATCGGGTAGCTTGACTCTCCTGGCTGAAAGGGATATTGTCCTGTCAACATAACAGAGAGAACGACAGCGGACGACCACATATCCCAAGCCGGGGAGACGATTTCTTCGTCTGCCTCCGGAGGAATTGTTAGATAGCATCCTGCCGCGGGAGCTAGAATATACCGACTACCGTAAAGTTTCACAGCAACGCTGAAGTTCGAGAGCTTGATAAGTCCCGTGGATGATATCAAAAGAGACGCCGGCTTAATATTTCGATGGACGATGTCACTCTCTTCTAGATAAACGAGGGCCCGAAGCAACTCTGTGAATATGCGCCTACTTTCTTCGATACTCATGCGTGCCTGCTGGTCAAGAACCTCCTGCAAATTCAGGTCAACCCAGTCGAAGAACATGTACAGCCGATTTCCATTTAACCACGTCCATTTAAGTGCCTGCACGTAATCACTAGATAACCGTTGCAAAATGGCGATCTCGTTTAGTACATGATCATTTTCTACAGAAACCCGCTTGTAATAGAATTTTCGACCATTCGGTAGCTCGAAAACGCCGCATGAGTTTTTAACTCGTTTCTGCTCAAGTTCCGCGATAATTGATTCAGGAGCTGTTTCTATTAGACACCTACTAAACATCGTCGTTCTTTACGCCTTAAACCGCGCAAGCATGGCGTTCATTGGCTTAAAATGTCTCTGCTATGAAAGAGTTATGAGCGCTGAACCAACAACAAACAACACTGCGGTCACAAAAAGGTATCTCCAAAGGTTTTCTGTATTAGGATCACGTGGCGTCAGTTTTCACATTAAATAGGACATTGCAACAACTCATGCCAGGGGAGCCATAAACCCTTTCCTTTTATATTGGCTGCCGGAACCAGAAAACCAGATTACATAGAGATACAGCGAAATAATCTGTGTCATGGTAAACCGACTAATAGGCCGAATTTTACGCTAATGAAAACAGCACTATTTCAATACTTCAAAGGTTGTCCGTTTATTGATTATTCAGTAGCTCAAGTGATACACTCGACCGTATACACAAATACATTCTTACAAACACCAACAGTAATAATCGTCTTTATGTTCACCTGATTTCACAATGCGATTAACGCGAAGTGAATTTAACAACATTCTTAGCAGCTAAGTAAGTATATCTTAGAGCAGTGTAAAATAATTTCATCAAAGCAACGATACTGGGACGACATAAGAAATCGATAAGCATAATTTATATAGATCCACCAAATCCATAAACAGATATCCGTTGTTTTCATCTAATTCATTTAGATTATTGTCGAAGGTCTGTGCCAGGACAAATATACTCTGCCCGTAGGCGTAATGTAACATATAAAGCAGTTTTCCATCATTATTTTCAGGTCCAGGTACTTTGTCACTAGTCATTCAACAGTTTACTCGTTGAGAATGGTGCGCTCAAGTTTGAAATCATAGGAGTAATCCTCGATCCGGCTACCAATCTCATTTAACGAGCGCGTCATTGATTTCCACGTGTGGTCTCCTATGCCCTGCCAAGTAACACGATAAACGATCCGTGTGTAATTAGGGTTTTTACGAAAGGCTCCTTTTTCAGAATGAATATCACTTTGGAACACGTTAAATGTATGTAAGTTTCAAATACATTATCAGGCGATCGCGATTCTATAATAATATAGTTAAGTAATCAAGTAAGAAACTGTATTCAAAATAATTGTTATCTCGTTTTTATGAGCCAAACGATACCTTTCCAGATGTTAATTTGCTATCCAGCTTAAAGGGCACCTTATCGATAGAACTTTGTCGTGCTAGTGTATCAACTGGGCTTGTTACGGGAAGCGAAGATGAGCCGCCTGTTTTTAAATAAAATTGATAAAGACGAATACATGCTGTTAGCTAGAAAGATGTCCCTGCGAATCTATTGAATTTATAGCTACGTTCCCCTCAATGGTTTAATGATATTCGATATCGAAAAACTTCAGTTTCTTAAAACTCTTTCTATATATATTAAAAAACTGTGTTGAATTTAATAACAGATCACGCTTTTATACGTGAATCAGGCATTACATACATACCGGCGTCAGGGTGATGCGAAATGTGCAAGCCACCGACATTAGGATACAGAGTTCCCTGAGGTGATGTGCCTCCTCTGAAGTCAGAATCTTGAAGAACAACAAAGTCTGGTTCCGGTTTCGCCGGCGTCGTTTCCTATATGAATAAAACAATACCATTTGATTATTTTACTTGTTGACGTTATCCAATATTGAATAATCTCGCAACATGTTAAAGTACCAAGCCGATTTACTAAAGCAAGTACAGGTATATTTGAGTGAGTAATATGTTAATATCTTAAGCTCCATTTATTGTGTTGTGCGGTACCTGTGGAAGTGATGATACCGATGGGGATCGTTGGTCTTTCTTTGGCTTTGATGAGCCGAACAATGCGCTAAGCAGACTCATTTTGCCTACAGCTGAAGCTGCAACAGTAACTGAAAAAATAAAAATAGAGCAATCATGGCGAGCCTTGTAACAGATCATTGCTGGGTGGTGCATGAAGTTGCCCTGTTATGTTACTATGTTCCTCTAAACGCACTTGTTTTTCCAGCGGTATCAGACCAGAAACGTCTTAGAGTGTACAACTATTGAATCAAATAAAATGTGCTTGTTGCTTCCAGTAACAACAAATGAGTTGAGAAGTGACCGAGTCAATGAGAGGTTTGTACAGAAGACGGTTAGACAACCGAGGAAATAATTCATTCACTTTACATAACTTTACCACTATGTTACTGTTATGGGTTACTTCCATGATATAAATGTATACATCGATAATTAGACGTAAATACTTTTTAAACAAAACCTTGGTTTTTGGCCTTACCTTTTTAGTGTATTTAAGGACCATATTCATCAACCAATTTTAGTTGTTATATAATTGAACAGTTATAATTGTGATCACTATAATACGGCTATATTAGACTCTAATATGATACAATTATCTGATTCTGACTCGCGACAACTCGACAAACTGGATTGTCAGATGTCGTAATGCTGACTTGCTTCATATGCAAGGCGCCCGCCGAGGCAATAAGGTTTTGGGACGTCATGGTTTCACAGTTTATCTTTCTTTTCGTACACTCTGTACAGTATTTTTTGGATTTACATAGACATTTATTTCGAGAACAAATGCGTTTTGTATACTCAAGTAATTTAAGCATGCAAATGCTACAGCACACAAATTCAAAATGATTGGAGGCGAGGTTAATTGCATTTGAACTCATATAATTGATAATTTTTCTCGAAGTGTGACTCAGATCTAGATGACGTTGGCTATACGCAGTCGGACACGTTAGCAATACTGCTACCATTACTTTACATATGTAGTTATTGTTCACCATTACGTACAAGAAACGTATAACCTTAACCTCATCGCAAATATATAAAATGCTAAGAAAAGCCCTAATTAGTGATTTCGTTTAATACGAATCATATCGTAATTGTCGCCAAAGCCATGATCAATCTTATTTAAGAATATGACACTATTTAACATTTCCGGGTGCTAACATTGGTAGCTTGATATGAACTGACACAGCATATCACCTGGCCTACTATATTTACCGAATCAATTGTGGTGAGAGATAATTCCGCGGGCTTTCAATCGATACGAGTCATTAAAACTGTCTCCGTTTTCACACACAGTTCGTCACATACATCTGTGCAAGGTTATTTTTGTCTTTTGTGCATCTCTATTTTGACTTGTCTTCAAGTTGAAAAGTTTGTATATTCTTTCATACAGCTCACGCCAGTGTTGTTGCGCAATCCAGACCGTCTGCTCACTGTTGATAAATACGCGCGCACAGAAAGAATATGGGGTATGGTTGAGCCTGATTTTGAACTGATCAGTGGAAACTATTCAGACTTGGTGGCGGAGAAAGTAGTGCCCTTGGAAATTATTCGTCCTTCGTTTAATTCGTAAGTAATCAAAACGCCGTGTACGCTCTTTAGTATGTGTTAACCCATGTAAACTACTGTACCAAAATTTAGCTTGTAATTCAGTTGCCACAGCCAAATAGTTTTAAATTGATTGGGTGATATTTCCCAGCTGGGCAATCTAAGCTGGCAAAGTAGCATAAATAAGAGCTGAGTTTCTATTACGCAATTCTCATAATGTGCCATTACAGGACGGGAGTGTATGTATGTGTGTGTGTTTCAGTAGACCAGCTGATGCTAAAATTATATAGATGCCGCTCGGTGACCCGTGCCAAAAGCAAGCCTGCGACATTCAGCGATGCCTGCAGGGTAAGTGGCTGCTTTCTTTGGAGTGGCGTGTGCTTCTTGAGAATTCTATAAACGAGCATCGAGCTTGGCCGAGGCTTGATTGAGTTGCCCGTGCGCGTGAACCTCGTTAACGGTAGGGAAATAGTTAAAGACTCAGACGCCCGGTCACTAAGCTGCGTTGGTAATGTTAAATTTAATTTACCAGCTGTTTGCCCTTATGTGTTCGGAGTAGCATGAACCGCTCTGCGCGTTCTCTGATGTAAATACAATAAATAAAGATAAGGATAGCCTTTGCAGAGAAGGTCAGTACGACCCAATGCTATTGTTTCAATGCTCAGTGCTGCCATACAAATAACCAATTCAGTTAAACATTTTCTACTGGATGCCTATCATAATGATCTGTGGTTTAATATATGCCAAGGCCTTGGAGTTATAGGTAAGTACAAAAAACTTTGCGTTGTTTCTGAAGCCATAGTGAAGAAGACGGTGGCTTGTTTAAAATAGCGTATCCGGCATAATGGAAAGTTTATCAGATGTGAGTTTTTGTTAAGGTGTACAATATTTAATTTCTCGTATCACTCACAGCTTCTAAAGCAAGTACCGTTTGTTTCATTGTGTATGTTCTTACCATACTTTTTTTAGGCAAGCAATATGCAAAAATATTTGAGCCATTATATAATATAAGAATTCCGTTTGTGATATTCTGTTAAAAAATCGATCATTTTTTGCGCATAGCTTGTTTTATTGTTTGTTGCACGTTAGCTTAGTTTTCAAGTTTCAGATACGCAATACGTATTATCTTGATATTTACAAAATATCATTAGTAGGTACAACTTGACACGTTTGAACAGAAAACGTGTTTAACCCAACGTTAAGACTTTGGGCTCTCTTTAATAAATTTCCAGCTAACCATTATAAAGAGGCGTTATGCACTGAAGCCTTTCGTGCAATGGACAAGTGCTGCGAGAAATGGGCTGAGAAAAGCGGTTGCTGTGCGGGTTTCCTGAAGGATCAACAATTGAAAAAGAAAACAGCAAAATCAACTACGTCACTATAGTAAACATCTACCAACCACTCGCAGCTGGCCGTTTATAATTTTTGTCTCATTTCCAGTGAACCTTCTCTAGTCACATGCACATCGAAAGCATGCCACTTACGTACTAATACTTTATAGAAACAGTCATCTTATAGATTACGACGTTTCTGACCATCACTGTTCAGTCAAGTGCCTGTTCAAACCTAAACGGCACACAATATCCACGGTAGTGCTCATGGCTTAGGTGAATTAATCGGACAAATCGGTGCACTCGGGTGAACGAGCGAATGACTAGTTCCGTGCTTCGTACTGAAATGATAATCACGTAATGAGCGTCTGGAAACATTTTGTCATCGGCCTGGCCGTACGGTTGGTGCTGTGTCTCTATTCTGAATATCACGATTCGGCGTTCACCATCAAATATACGGATATTGATTATCAGGTGTTCACCGATGGAGCTGAGCATGTTCTTAAGGGAGCGTCCCCGTACGATCGAGACACTTATAGATACACGCCTCTTGTTGCATATATAGTGCTACCGAATGTTCTCTATCATCCGATCTGCGGGAAGTTACTTTTCAGCATTGCAGACGTTGCGGTCGGTTGGTTTGTCTATCAGATGGTGGCATTCGACAAAAATCGTCGGCGAACCAACGCACCGATAGCTGCAGCTGTCTGGTTATACAACCCGTTCACGGTGGCGATATCTTCGCGCGGTAGCTTTGAGCCAGTTCAGTGTTGTCTCGTGCACCTGTCATTATGGCTAGCTCTCAAGAGAAAATATTTGCTGTGTGGCATCGTGTGGGGATTTTCAGTTCATATGAAAATGTACACCATTATCTATGGCTTGGCGTTCTATATTTGGGCTAACGTCTATACATCTGCAAGCGAACTAAGAGATATGATTATCCCGAACGGATCTCGAATCTTTTTCGGACTAGGAGCTCTGCTTGGATTTGGATTACCAACAGGATATTTCTACAATGAATATGGATATAAATTCCTTTACGTAAGTAAAAATACACAGAATTCAGTAAATGATCCGCTACCCCCAGTTTATATCGTGAACGTTTCTTAGTTGACCTCAATTTAGAACTTGCATTCCATCTAAGCATTCAGTATTGTGTCTTGTCTTATATCGTAAGTATTAGAAACAATCATTAATATTTATAGGTGACAGATCGTAATTATCTTCTACGAATTCTTTGATAAGGCTTTAGCTCGTTATTAGGTAGCGAGCAGTTACGCAATTTTTCGTATATTATACCATTCTACTAACACACTTTAATTCGCTCTTTTGATAATTTGGCATTTTTATACCGCAGGAGACGTTGTTGTACCACCTTCAACGAGAGGACATTCAGCACAACTTTTCGCCAATGTTTTATCCGCTCCGGATTCTTTCCGAGAGTCCTTCGTATGAGAACAACTTAATTAAAATGGCACTATCAATCTCTGTTACAATTGTCCAGTTTGTGCTCGTGATAAGAACCTCATTCCGTTATGCCGGTTCGCACCTGTCATTCGCTTTGTTTACCCAGACGTGTTATTTCGTTATCTTCAACAAAGTTGCCACTTCACAGTACTTCACTTGGTACCTTTGCCTTTTACCCTTAGTGCTTCATCGGTTGGCATTTAGCCCGCTCGCGTGGGCATTTATATTTGTGGCATGGATCGGCGCTCAAGCCCAATGGCTCCTTCAAGCGTATTATTTCGAATTTGAGCAACGGGATAACCTTTTCAATGTTTTCATTGCATCGATCATTTACGTTGTGTCGCACGCGACGTTATTATGGGCGCTCGTACGTCGATACGACGCCACCATCGCTAAAGAAGCTATACTAAGCAAAATAAAACGCAAATAGGTGCGGTAGAAGTTAGTTCTTAATTAAAAAAGAGAAAAATAAAACACTTTGAAGATTATAGAGCTAGGTCCGTGGACATGAATAACGTATAATATCGTGTAAAACCCTAATAGCAGTTTCGAGGAGCATGCTGCTCTTTTAGCAGACATGAAGTAAAAAGCGGCCTTGAATAAAAATAATAAATGCCATTTTTGTATGTTTCGTATCCAACTTATCTCGTACTTGAGTAAATGCACAAATAATTTAAATAACCTTATATATCATGAATGTAAGTTAGCTTTATACTATAAATTGCTTTCAATTAAAGTTAATCAATGTTTTATAATCTTAATTCTTTTCGCTTGGCATAGGACTTTAGAACAACTTCCTGTAATTGTGTCTGTCATCGTTACCTCCCACATATATTTCACACTAAATAATTATGCTCTTATTCCACTATGTATATTTATGTTAAAATTATATTCACTGCTTTCACTCCTGTCAGTTCTATTTTAATTACTGCTCATCGATCTAATATCAATGGTTTTTCTCATTTTTCTACTGGCTTGAACGGGCATAATCAAGATACTATGAAATAAGACACGCCACTCTAAAATATTTATCAAAATTCACAATTACTTCAGTTCATTCTTTATTATTACTATACATTATATATATATATATATGATTTCAATGTCGTGAATATATGAAGCATCAAAGAAAGCAGATATTGCGATGATCAGCCATGATGCGCTGATTGATGAGTAGTTATTGGTGTTTGATGTGATTATGTGATGAATGCTTACGCGGGTGATTTATGAACACCTCTTCAGTCTATAGACAAAACTCGCCCCATTAACTTTTAAATTCATTGCCTGCGCATTATATAGGCAATATTGAGTGGACGAGTGTAGCAAGGACGAGCTTGTCCTGGCTACCTTGTATTCCGGCTGGTTGAGAAAAAGCCTTCGTAAAACACTGTTTCGGTGTACGTCTGTGTGTGTCCCTACATTACTGTTCCGTTTAGTTCCGCCCAGCCTCGGCCTAGCGTTTGAATAACACGCCCACTATGGTAGCCAATTATGTAATAAAAATAATAATAAGAGTAATAGTAATTGGAGTTACAATAACATTAACAACA